CAGAGGTATTGTTTTGGGAGACTATCACACTTATCCTTCCTACTCTTTTGATTGTGTGAATACATTGATGGACAAAACATATCAAATAACCGAAATACTGGATCTTGAACTGTTGCTTAAATATGTTACTGATGTGTGACATTGGCTTTCAATATTTTGCCGCCTATGTTGTGGGCCGGGCTTGATAAACTTAAAGACTGCTGGTTAAATTTTGAGTATTCTGGAACTAGTATTTAAGTTGTAATCGCTTGTAACCGATATGTGGATTCATTCACTTTCATTGTGCTTTAGGCTATACTTTTACACGGTCTTTCCTAAGTGGAACATAATACTTTGATCAGGTTATTAACCCGAAGCGTAATGACGGGTATGGAAATCCAGCTGATATATGGAGCCTTGGGTGCACTGTATTGGAAATGCTGACGGGTCAAATCCCCTACTCCCATTTAGAACCCGTAAGTGTTCAAGATTTTCAAATTTTCTTTTATATATCTAGTTCTGTTTAATACTCAGCCTCATAAGAGTGCTTGTGTTTTACACCATACCTTTAGCAGACGTTTCTTTTTGTTTCTATGGGATTTCCCTTTATATTTGAAATTTGTGCAAACGTGCAGGTTCAAGCCCTGTTTAGGATCGGAAGAGGAACTCTTCCGTCATTACCTGATACTCTATCACCAGACGCGCGGGATTTCATACTGAAGTGTCTCAAAGTGAACCCGCAACAGCGGCCAACTGCTGCTGAGCTGCTGAACCATCCATTTGTGAGAAGGCCCTTCCCGTCCTTGGGATCAGGCTCTGGATCAGGACCGGGATCGCCACTTCTCCGTAGACAAGGCTAATTTAGTAGATTACCTATATAGGTGAAGCTTTTGATTTCATTAGCATGTGAATATATAAAGAATCAAAAAGCTGTGGATTCTAACATTTGATGTCCTAATAATGTATGAGAGCAGGCGTAACCAGAAAGATTTGTAAGAGATGTGATTCTTCGGACACACATGTACGCTTGGGTTGAGCTGCAGGAAACATATCAACATCGTCATTCAGGTTGTTTCTGCACTCATTCGTTGCTTATTTGTTGTAACCTTGTGTGTTGGGCTTAATTAATTTGAAAAGTGAAGAGCCATATTCTTCTAGGAAAATGAACAAAAATGGAATTAGAGGCGTCGAGCTTGGTTTTCGGGTGTACAGGTTTTGTTAGTTTTGTTAAATCTTAGTGTGTATGTACCCATATGTTATGTAATGTATTGTTTGGTTTTAGTAGTTGTTACGTGATGTAACTGTGTACACATCTCGTGTCCCCGATGGGGTTACCGTGTATCTGCCTCATTCATCTCTTAAAGGAGCCTTTTGATTCTCTATTTGGAATTCCATTTGGCTAATTTTACGGTGATGAAATCGGATTCTCTAATCATTTTGGCTAATTAAAGTATGGTCAAAACATAGATTTTGGTCAAAGCCACTTTCATTGAAGTCTATGATTCAACTTACTTAACAATATTGCCCCGTTGAAAAGTTATTGCAGTCAAAGCTTTTTGTTTATTTGTATATATATTTGGTCAACAAAATATAATAAATTCAAAAATGGTTCGTAACTACAAAAACAGAATCACGAAAACAAAATCTAACATTTCGGAGACAACCAACTTTAAAATATTTAGGGAACGACGAAAAAAAGAAAGAGAAAATAGTAAAAAAAATCACTTTGATTCTCACAAACTTCCATGTTTTGAAAGAAAGAAATTCATGTTTTCCAATAAGACGAGATTTTAAACAACATTTATACAGTAAATGACTAATCCAGTGATTTTGGATTTTGAATAAGTTTTACACTAAATCCAAAAAAATATGATTCTTAAAACATTTTAGAGAATCATCAAAGGAGAGATTTGAAGAAAATTTATAATCATTCCAAATCATAGACCCAATGGATGTCTATTGAATGATTATAAATTTTCTTCAAATCTCTCCTTTGATGATTCTCTAAAATGTTTTAAGAATCATATTTTTTTGGATTTAGTGTAAAACTTATTACAATGAGATTGTAATAAGTTTTAAGTAACTTATTCCATTTGT